TTCATAGCACTTACCACATTTGTTTTATTTTGCTGATGTCTGTCTACCCTAATAAAAAGTAAACTCCACAAGGTAGTAAACTCTTGTTTTGTTCACTGATGTATCCTCAACACCAAAACCATGTCTGGTACTAGGAAAGTACACAATATCTCTTCAATGACTGAACTTAGAGGCTGAGTTAGCAAAAGTGCATTCTTCAGTGAAAAATGTACTCATCTGCCATACTTTTTAAAATTACAATAAGCAAAGAGTTAGCAATTCGGACAGAAAACAAGTCGGTATTTTACAAAATTGCCTTTCATCAAAAAGACCACAGATTTATAGGACAAAATACATTTGTCACATTATGGACCTAAATCCAGTTGAATGTTGTAGTTAAATATTAACTATGAGGTTAACATTCACGCTGGATAATCAAGTCTGATTGCTCTCCATCAAACTGCTCTCTTAATCTCACATCTTAATAAGTAGATCCATATGGATGTGGACCTCTTACAGGTCCTTTAAATACTCAAAACCCTACTCATCTTTAATGACAACATGCTTCAAATGACAACAACATCCATCTCACGCCCCAAGGAACCTGCATATTTCTCCTACCCCAGGTGAGTTCCTCAGCCCTAAACTCTACTTCCTAGCTATCTCAGACCCATCCCCTCGGCTCCACTCCCAACTTCTCAGTTGGGGTCCTCACCTGGAATCTCCCTTCCACTCAGATCTCCCTTTTGATGTAGTCAATACAATGCTACCAAAGTGATTTCTCTATAATACAAATCCAACGTCTTTACCCCTCCTTAAAAACCTTCAGTGACTTCATGTACCTTCCAAGAATATTTTCAACTCCTGACTTAGCCTCATCCCCCATCACTGCCCTCCTATTCCCACCTCCACCACATGGTGCTTTAAGATAATCCAGCCACAGTGAACTCCTTAGTTTCCAAATACATCATTACCTTGCTTTCCTTTATTTTCCAAATATTGTTTCCTCTCTGTCTAAAACACTCCTTTCTACCCTTCTCTGCCTAGTGAAAGTTTAACTCTCTGCTTAGATGTCAATTCCAGAGGACTTTCCATGGGTCTCTCTGACTTAGATATCCTCCCACAGGACTTATAATTACCATATATTGAATCAATACTCTTATAATTCAATATGCACCATGTTTTGTTTTCTCTGTCTTCTACTAAACTGTGAGCTCCCTGAGAGCAGGTCTATAGCTTATTCACCTTCATTCCACACGGCCTGACACATGCAAGGGGCTGTTAAATGAGTGATTTTTGAAGGGGGGAGAGAGAGGAAAGGGGGTGGCAAGGAGAGAGAGAAGAAAAAGGAGGAAGGAAAAGGAGAAGAAGGGAGGGGAAGCGGTAATAAGAATATGTACACATGTACACAAGCAAAGGGCATTTAAAAAGGCATTTGTAATCAACCCATTATTTGTATAAAACTGAAGCCAGTGATACTGGAGAAACTGATACATCCAAAAAAAAAAAAAAAAAGCATCTCCCTAGTTCTAAGTACAACCATCTATAGCACTTACTCCCTAAAGATTCTGAAATGTCTAGCCTTCCCATTTCACGTGAAAGTTTACCATGGCCCTGGCTGAGTAGCTCAGTTGGTTAGAGCACTTCCCTGATACACAAAGGTTGTGGGTTCAATCCCAGGTCAGGACACATACAAGAATCAATAAATAAGTGGAACAAATCAATGTTTCTCTCAATCTCTCCCCCTTCTTCTCTTTTTCTAAAATAACAATAAATAACAGAAATTTTACCACAATGTAATGTTAATATAGATGCAGGAAAAAATAAGTAGGAAATGAATCTGATATAATTAAGTCTTAGAATAACTTAGAACCCTTAATAGTCTATCATTTCTTGATAATGTGCTATCACTGATGTTGAAAGGGCTATCAAAAGTATGAAAAACAAATACAACATAACACCTAAATCATGATCTATGTTAAAAGCACAAAAGTGTGCCCTGGCTGGTTTGACTCAGTGGATAGAGCGTGGGCCTGCGGACTGGAGGGTCCCGGGTTTGATTCAGGTCAAGGGCACATTCCTGGGTTGCGGGCTCAGTCCCCAGTGGGGGGCATGCAGGAGGCAGCCAATCAATGATTCTCTCTCATCATTGATATTTCTATCTTTCTCTCCCTCTCCCTTCCTCTCTGAAATCAATAAAAACATATATATTTTTTAAAAGCACAAAAATGTGTTAGATTTCTCAAAAACACACTGGACAAAAATATCTCAAGACAGAGTATACCAATCTTGAAGATAGCACTACAAGAAAATTCCTTCTAAAACATATAATACTTAACATATTCACTGTATTTATTTTGGGATTTAAAGCAACAACCAAAAGAGCACTTTTACCTCAAAACAAATGTCACAATAAAATTTAAAAAAAACATGTGACTAATAGAACATAACAAGCTTAAAAGTTTACTTCATTTTTAAAAAATTATTATGCTTTAAAAATCAGTTAAAATTTTAAGCATCATTACTTCTTGTTGTTGTTAATTCTCACCTGAGGACATTTTTCCCACTGAGAGAGAGTGGGAGGGAGGGAAGATGTGAGACACACATCCACTGGTTGCCTTCTGAAACCACCCAGACCAAGGACCAACTGACCAAATAGGGCCAGGGAGCGAACCCAAAACCAGGTACTTGCCTTTGTCTGTAATCAAACCTGGAACTCTTTGGTTTGATGCTCTAACCATTGAGCACACCAGCCAGGGCTAAGCATCATTACTTTTAAGCTGTACTGTCAGAAGCATAACTACAGTGATCCCCCACCCTTTTAATTAACTTATTGGGGGTGACACTCGTTAACAAAATTATACAGGGTACAGGTGCACAATTCCACAACATCTGTACACTGTATTGTGTATTCACCACCTCAAGTCTTCTTCCATCAACACTATACACTCCACCTCCTTACATCAAGTATAAATATGTTCGGTAAGAGCTAATAAATGGCATAAATCCCTCTACAAGGCTGTTGTCATTACAATAGGGAAATTGGGAGCATGGAAAAAATTTAAGTCCAAAATAATCAATACTAAATACTTTTTGAATTGTAATTTTTTTTAAAGCAAAATACCAATCATGGGCAGCCTCTCAACTTTCATCACACAAGAAATTAAGTTGTAAGAAATTAGCTAAGTTTTTAGTACTACTGATTACTAGGAGGTTCCCTAAGAGAAAACTTATTATATAGTAACAGGAAGTTCTTCTGGTATAAAATCAGAAGTGTATTTTAATAACACTTTTTAACGTTACTAACATCTTTTCTTAAAGGCAGGAATAATGGAAATGCTGAGCATTTAAAATCAGTAGTTTTAAAATGATACTCAAAAATTTGCATTTGCCTAACATTTACCATGAAACTTTTAAGGTTAAAGTTTCCAACATACTCTCTCTCTTTTTTTTAAACACACATTGAAAAAAAATAGAAGAAAAAGGAAATGAAAGAAAGAAAAGGAAAAGGAAATTTAAATCTAAAACACCTTCAACTTACTACATTTCTTTTAACCAAAGATTAACAGAGTTCCTAACAGGCCAGGCACCACTTTGGGAATTGTGACAAATTACAACATGTATTCCAAATGAAATCCTGTGTTATTCAGCTTCTGAATGTATTACCTATTATTCAACCCAACATTTTTCTTAAGAAATTCTTATCCAACATCAAGCAAGGTATACGTTTTTCTTAACAAACTCACTTGTCACTGTTTTACACAGGTCACAGGCGTTAGTCACACCTGTGAATCACAAAAAGGGATTCCTTTATGAAACATCCCTGGTTGTCTTTTTGTTTACATGAAGGTGAGCTAGGAATCCAGCAGATACACACATTTTAGGTGTTTAAAGCATCTCAAACTCAAGAAGAAAAAGCCTAAAAAAATCACTGGATTGAACATAATTCCTTTGTATAGCTGATAAACATTTCAGCAGCCACCGGTTTTTCTTTCTGCCATAAACACAAGCCTTACAAATTTTAAAAGCACTCCTGCCTCTGAAGAAAAGCGAAGTAAACTTGTTTAAAAATAGTTCAAAGGAACTGTCAAAAGTGGACGGCATTTACATTTAGACAGACCATCAGTTGCACTTCTGTCCTTGTGCACACACTCTACCTGCTCCACACGCACTTCTGAACGTGGATGAAAATACTGCTGCCCCCAAGTCCCACCAGTTGAACCTGGACACCCAGGGGCCCAAGGCCTTTCTCCTAAACTGTTTAACAACATCACAGCGTCCAATCACACCGTCTCCAAGGGAACAAACAGCCTGCACTCGCACTGCTGTCACTTCTTCCACCAATGAAGCAAATTCCACTTCTCGGACAATATCCTCCTTCAGTTAACACGTTCACATTTCAGAGGAACCTGGCCATCGGTGTCATCGCAAAGCAACACTACACCTGACAATTCCCAGACCAGATGTAGTTCAACAAAGACGTACACACGGAGCCCTCCTACATCCCCGGAAATGCCAGGAACAGGTGCCATCTCCGAGCTGTGCAAACATCATCAAAATTCTCTTTCAAAAAAATCTGTGCTTCAAGATGATATTCTCGTGACCAATCAAGTAGGTCTGCTAAAAGCTCACGGCACGGTTCACACAATCAATGGGGTTTCCTTACATCCGTGTAACCGCTAGAACCCCAATGCAGTTCAGGTTCTCGAGTCGGATTACGTGACCTGCTTTTTCTGCTTTACCCTCAGAAACACTCTCCTGCATGCAATTACTCCCTCTCATTTCCGGCAAAAAGAGGCGCCCGAAACACGGGACAGCCATCCTCAGTACGAGATCCCCAAACTGGCTCCAACTCCTCGGCACCGCGCACCGACAACCGCCCCACTAACTCTCGTCCCCCCCGAAAAGGGCTCGCACCCCAAGCCCAGCGCTCTGAGGGCCCAGCGCACGCCCTCGACCCGACCCCTCGCTTCCTGGATTCTGCGGCCCCAGAGGTTCCTTTTCCGCAGCGATCTTACCTTTCATGGTGATGCCGGGACCGCGGCGCCCTTCCAAAACACCAGATTCACCTGCACCTGGGGGGGACACAAAAGGCACCGTCACCGCCACGGG